ATGGCTCATAACTGTAACCTCTGCACTTTGAGGCAGGAGGATTAATGAGAGAGAGTTTGATGATGACCTGGACTATAGAGTGAAACTTTATCTTACTGCTACCCCTTCCCCCCAAAATCCTCCACATAAAACAAGTGGTAAAGGAAGAATAGGAGTGTCGTTCATTGATGAAGCGTTTGCCCCCCATCCCCAACACTGATAAAGAGAGAAGCCTAGGTAGAAGAAGGGCATTCTGAGAGGGAGGACCAGCAAGTTCAAAGCCTGGAGAGTGGCAATCATAGCAAGATTGGGGCAGGGAGGGATGGCAGGCAGCATCGTGGGCGGGGCAGGCTGCAGCTAATGCTGACAGAGATACAGCCAGTTCTAAGGGGGCCCTAGACTCGGCTCAGAGCCTGTGTTTTACTGAGGGTGATGGCACATTTGCACAATTTGGGGCAGAGGAATGACGTCCTCTGATTTCTGTTTTAAACTACATTTTGGGCTTTTGAGTTATTTCACTGACACTGGGGGGTCCCCGTATGACAAACGTGGGGATACGGGATGAGCAAATGTCTTGGGAGTAGGAAAAACAAGGGAGGTCAGGAAGGGCTTTCTAGCAAGGTGGCTTGGGGTGGTGGGAGTATGGTTGGCACTCTCTATCTGTGGGACCCTGATCTGCAGATCCAGTCAGTCGTGGATCAAAAACATTCCAGGAAAATAATTGCATTTGTCTTGAAGCAGAATTTTGTCATTTTTTTCTTGGACAATATGATATAACAAGTATTTATGCTTTTTACTTGAGCATGTTCTTTTTGAGACAGAGTCTCACAATGCAGCCCTGGCTGGTATGAAACTCACTATGTAGACCAGGCTACATAGAAATTCACTTCCCTCTGACTTTTGAGTACTGAGATTAAAGGTGTGCACCACCACCCATATTGTGTGTATGTGTGTGTGTATACACTATCACTATATTGTGTGTTTGGGTGTGTGTGCATGTGCACACCATGGCACATGTGAAAGTCAGACGTATGAATTGGCTTGCTTCTTCCACTATGTAGACCCCAAAGACTGAACTCAGGTCACGAGGCTTAGCAGCAAAAGCCTTTTTCCACTCAGCCCCTCAGCAATCATGACCTTTACCTATATTAGGTATGATAAATCAACTAGATGTGATCTAAAGCACATTGCAGCACAAACACTGGCCCCAGACAAATGCCTCACTGTGTTACAGAAGCACGCTTAGATGTTGGTGTCCATGGGCATCCTTGGCCTACACCCCATGGATTTAAATATTAGAGTATTATGGGCAGAGAGAAGAGCTAGGGCAAAGACACAAAAGAGTGTAATAGCCCAAGTAAGAAAGTGTGTTAATCACAAGAGTACGCTGGGCAAAAGAAAGAGCAGGGGACCAGCTAGATTCTCAGGGGGCAACTACTACCTAAGGACCTCCTTGAAGAGCAAGGACTGCCTGCTCTCCCAAGGCCTCTCACTGACATGACTTACTGTGGACTTGGGTTCCTTTCAGACTTTCCTGCCCCCTTCACCTGGGTCACGGGCTACTTTGCCATGATCGTGGGAGCCAGCATGACCTTTGTTGTGCAGAGCAGTTCTGTGTTCACCTCCGCCATCACCCCGCTCATCGGTGAGTTGCCCATGCCCGGCAACAGGCAGCAGTGCTTGGGTTGCGTGTGTGACTCGGGAAGAGTTAGAAAGAAATGCCATACTCCCCTCCCCACCAGGCCTGGGTGTGATCAGTATTGAGCGTGCCTACCCTCTCACCCTGGGCTCCAACATCGGCACTACCACCACAGCCATCCTGGCAGCACTGGCCAGCCCCAAGGAGAAGCTATCCAGCTCCTTTCAGGTACGTGGGGGAGAGAGAGTGGGCCATCTGTAGAGGCAGAGGGCCGGGGTGCAGGCCCAGTGGAGGATGTGACGATGTATAAGCAACATCAATCGCCTGATGACGTGACCCGCTCCTCTCCGTGGAAGCTGCTCTGGACAAAGCTGACTTAATTCCTCTCTCAAGACCTCGGCGTCCAATAGGGAGCCGCTGCTGTCCTGTATCCTTAGACAGCCAGTCAGGGTCACAATGTGGCCATGTGCTGCTGTCAGAGAGGCCAGGCCCAATCTGGGGGAATCAAGGATGCTTTGAATTGGGGATGGTAAGCAGATGGCAAAGGGATTGGTCTAGAAGCAAAACAGCTGACAAGATGCTGACCAACTAAAAGCCTGGAATAGGCAAGCCAGGAACTAATCTAATGCTAAACTCAGGCGTGGTAGTAGATGCCTATAATCCCAGCACTTGGAAAAACACACACACACACACACACACACACACACACACACACACACAGCAAAAAGCTCAAAGTCTGCCTGTTCTATATAGTGAGACCCTGTGTCAGATGGGCACGCCTCTCAGCTGCTGGGATCTCATGAGAGGGCGGTCACTGGGACACAGGGGGGGCATTCAGCAACACATATTTTAATAGCCAGTCTGGAGATCTGGAGTCACATCGGCTCCAGAGTTCCTCCTGCTGCCCTGAGCATGTGGGGCCTCTGTTCCAGCCCTGCTAGGCTCCCGTGGGAACGCATTATCAACCTCGCCCCTCTACACTCTCCTCTGCAGATCGCCCTCTGTCACTTCTTCTTCAACATCTCGGGCATCTTGCTGTGGTACCCACTGCCCTGCACACGCCTGCCCATCCGCATGGCCAAGGCGCTGGGCAAACGCACCGCCAAGTACCGCTGGTTTGCCGTCCTCTACCTCCTCGTGTGCTTCCTGCTTCTGCCCTCACTGGTGTTTGGCATCTCCATGGCAGGCTGGCAGGCTATGGTCGGTGTGGGTGCACCCTTTGGGGCCCTGCTGGCCTTTGTGGTGCTCATTAATGTCCTGCAGAACCGAAGTCCTGGGCACCTACCCAAGTGGCTGCAGACATGGGACTTCCTGCCCCGCTGGATGCACTCTTTGCAGCCCTTGGATGGCCTGATCACACGAGTCACCTTGTGCTATGCCGGGCCTGAACCCCGTTCACCCCAACTTCCCCCTAGAGTCTTTCTGGAGGAGCTTCCGCCTGCCACACCCTCCCCCCGCCTCGCACTGCCTGCTCACCACAATGCCACCCGTCTCTAGGATGTGGGCCCAGACCGCTGCCCGGAGCAGGAAGCAGAGTGTTTATTGGACACGCAGCAGAAAGGCAGGGGTGTGTGCATGCGCATGTGTGTAGATGCACATCGGTTGAGGTTCATGATTTTGTGCCGCCCTTGGGTACCCGTCCAGATGCAGGGTCATAGTGATGTGGGCTTTTGTAATGAAGAGGCAGTGGGCACAAGTACATGTGTTAGGTGGTGCATCTGTGTGGCCACCAGTGTAGGTAGAGTCCATGTGTGAACATTGTGTCAGCCCATGTATGTGTACAGACAAGCCTACACAATAGGTGTGTACAAGGTGCAGGCTATCTCGCCATAAGTCTGGCTGTTTGTAGATACAAGACCCGAGCTTGTGTCCTTGTGTTCACAGATGACTATGAGTAAAGGTGGCTTTGGATCAGTGACGATGTGGTTGTTCACTTGTGCTCAGGTGCAAGTCAGAATCACTGGCTGAATTCTCCTCCCTCTCTACCACCTTCTCGCCCATGTCATCATCCTCACCCTCACCAAGGGCTTCGGCACCACCGCTATGATCCCTTTTTTGAAAACCAGAAAGGAATTAAACTTTCGTTATTTGGGACTACTTTTGCTTTGCATCTGAGCAAAGAGAAGATCAAGACAGAGGTCGGCAGCACCATCCTCCTTCAAATGTTCACTGGACCAACAGCCTTCAGTCCTGCACACTTAAGAGTCTGACTGGCCCTGCCTTCCTGAGCCTCATCCGTAATTAAAGCTCCCACAAGTCCCTCCCTACAGTCTGGAGCCACCCCAGAGGTGAATCTGCACCTCCACACTCTGGTATCCCTGCTTCTGTAAACCCACCCACATCAATCCCATGTTCATTCTCCCTAAGATTAGTGCTCCAGAGTGAGTGACCAGCGGAGGCTTGCTGGGGCCAGTGGAAAACGGGGCAGGATGGTAGCTGTGGGCAAGAGAGGTCTGGCCCTGGTCACAGAGGGCAGAGGACAGATCCTCCCTCCACCTCTGTCCTATGCCTTTGGGGAATGAGCCAGGCAGCTCTTAAACAGACCTGAGCTTTGCAGTCCTGCCTCTTCCATGCAGGGTCCTGGAGCTCAGGCTTGCAGAGTGCGGGTCAACAGGGGAGGCTGCCACCCAGTGCCCTGGAGTGAGGCTTGCAGAGTGAGCGTCAGTGGGTGGGGGTACCACATTTCTTCCCTGTAGGCCAAGGCTTTCTATTGGGGGCTTTGGGCCTCGGAAGAAAAGGAAGACTGGCCATGCCCGATGACAATGCTCACACTTGTGCCTGCAGTAGACCCACCTCCGAGGTCTCTGTATGTGGTCGGGTGCAGACGCTTGGGGACCCTAGAACTTTTCTGAGAATAGTCAGCTACATCCTGTCACCTAGTCACCATACTTGTGCCAAGTAGGGGGCAGAAATACAGCTAGCCCTCGTATACCTGGGCTTTACCTCTGCCAATTCTGCAAACTGTTGAGAGAGAAATGTTTAAAGTTCCGTCTTTACTGATCGTACATGGGCGTTTTTAAAACTCAGCATTCCTTAACCAATCAGCACAGTAACTACATGGCTTTTACAGTATATTAGGTATATAAGTCACCTGGAGGGCTGGAGAGACGGCTCAGTGGTTAAGAGCATTGCCTGCTCTTCCAAAGGTCCTGAGTTCAATTCCCAGCAACCACATGGTGGCTCACAACCACCTGTAAAGAGGTCTGGCGCCCTCTTCTGGCCTACAGACAGAATATTGTATACATAATAAATAAATATTTTAAAAAATATCTTTAAAAAAAAAGTCACCTGGAGATCACACACCAGGGGCTATAGGTAGATTCTTTGCAAACACTGTCATTTTATACAAGAGCATCTTAAGATTTGAGTACCCACTGGTATCCTGGGGCCAATCTCCAACATACTGAGGGTCACTCAACGCCATCCTGAAACCCCACAGACCTTGGCTGCTGGTGTGTGCTGGGGAGGGAGGTGGGTGGGAATGACTTCGTTCATTGTTATGCCTACATATGTGGAAAATTCCATGAGAAAATGGTAGTAAAGCCTGAGGTAAAATCTGAGAGCCTGCTACCCCAGTATGATTTCTCAGCTGTGACGTGTTTAGGGACCTGGGGCAGTACCATAACACCCAGACCAAAGGCATCTACCACAAGAGGAATGGGCAGGGACAGGAGACCTGGAAGCCCACCAGGATCACTTTGTTCTGCAAGGATCTCCCCATAAACTAGTTTCCTTGTTTGCACGTCCTCGCACATGCACCAAGAGGGTAAACCCACAGCTCTCCGTTCAAGGTTTATTCTGGTCCTCCTACCACCACGGGTGGCCTGGCGGTCCAGCTAGGAGCACTGCTCCCGCAGCCCACCAATCAGGTCGTGCACTGTCTTGTTAAGGATGCCTCCATGCACGCCTCGTCTGCCCATCAGCACCAGAAGTGCCCGCGGTGTGTGGCCCACGCAAATTGCACGCCCGTCCAGCCCCTTGGTGCGTGCATCCAGTACGCCGTCGCCCTCGGCCAGCAGGAAGTCACGGATAACGCAGCAGCGGCGGCCTGCCACGCTCAGACCCGTCTGCAGAAAGGTGTGCCGGTCTGGCCCGGTGAGCACACCCACCTCCTGTGGGGAGATGGCCGCCAGCAGACCCCCGGGTCGTGATGCCCACACACAGCGGTTGTCCGAGTGGCCCACGATGGCCACATCGTCGATGCGCTGGTCCCGCAGCACCGCGCTGATGTAGCCCTTCCAGTCACCCATCTCGGCTCAGAGTCCGCCCCCTATTCCTTGCGCTTGCGCTAGAGGGGGTGACTCGCAGGACCGAGAGCTAAGCTACTCCATGAAGTTCGCCGGGCGGGGCTGTGACGTGGGGCAAATGTCACAGAACATCTCTTTAGGTGGAGAATGTGAGGGCGGTGGAGTTGGGGGGGGACAGTTCTAAAGGAGCGTGTAGGAGGAAAGGGAAGATGGGTGTGGGGCTGGAGGGGTGGCGTTAAGAGCACTTACTGCTTTTCTGTTGACATACAAGGGCCTTAACTCTGACCTCTCTGGGCAAGCTCACACAGACATACATTAAGATTTAAAAAAAAAAAAAAAAAAGGCAGGCACGGTGGTGCGCATATTTAATCCCAGCACTTTAATCCCAGGCTGAGGCAGACGAATCTGTGAGTTCAAAGCCAGGGTGGTCTACAAAGCAAGTTCCAGGACGGCTAGGGCTACACAGAAAAACCCTGTCTCAAAAAAGAAAAAACAAAAAACAAACAGAAAAGGATTGGTGGGAGAACAGGAACTGTTTTTTTGGGTTTTGTTGTTGTTGTTGTTGTTATTATTATTATTATTATTATTATTATTATTATTATTATTATTATTTTGCCTGAGTGCTAGGATTAAAAGCTTGTGCCACCACCACCCAGCAGGAACTGTTTTTCACACAGAGGACTAGTGTTCAAGTCACAGCACAGAGGTTAAAGCAGCTCACTGCTGCCCCCTTCTGCTCTTCTTGCGCACCTGCACTCATAGCCATAGAGCCACACAAACACATAACTAAAAATCTTAAAATTAGCTGATCCCAACACTCAGGAGGCAGAGGCAGGTGATTCTCTGTGAGTTCGAGGTCAGACTGGTCTACAAAGCCAGTTATAGGGCAGTCAGGGCTACCCAGAGAAACCCTGTCTCAAAAACACACACACACAATCTTGAAATTATAACTTTTTAAACTATTAATATAAATGGCTCAGAAGGTAAGGGTGCTTTGCCCTGTTAGCCTGGTGGCCTAAGCGTCATCCCTGGAACCCACATAAAGGCAGGAGAGCACAGACTCCACAGAGTTGTCCTGACTTCCACACAACACTGTGACACACTCAAACACATTGTACACACACAAACCACAATTTTTTTCTTACTTTTAAAAGGCTAGACATAGTGACACCCACTTAATCCCAGAACTCAGAAGGCAGAGGCAAATAGATCTCTGTAAGTTCAAGGCTAGCCTACTCTACATAGCAAGTCCCAGGCTAGTCAAGAGCTACATAGTAAGATGCTGTATCCAAAAATGAAGGGGGAAATAGCCCCCATATAAAAGAGATGGGTGTAAGGACTAGGACTGTAGCTCAGTCAGTTGAGTGACGTGGACAGAGTGCCTGCCAATGATGCACCAAGTGTTGGGATGGACCCCCTAGCACCACACAAACCAGGTGAGATGGCGCAGGCCTGCCATCTCAGCACTGGGAAGACGTGTCTCCATAAATCAACAAATAAATGACATTTTTAAGAGCAAGAAAGGTGCTAGTCTGGACAGCTAGACCTGTCCTGTAAGGGAGCCCTCTAACCACACCTAAAGAGTCACGGTGTACCCGAAGGCTTATGGATTGCTGGCTCCCACCCCAGCTCTTGTAGCCTCAGACAGCCCTTGCCACCAGCTCACACCACCATGCCAGGCTCAAAGTTCAAAAAATAAAACAAACAAACAAACCCCCAAACACCCTTTTTTAAAAGGTGGTGCTGGAACCTAAGCCAGGACATCACACAAGCTCAGCTACCACCACCCATACCTCCAGCCCAATGTGGAGCACTCCTAACAATGCTTTTCAGCTTTGACTGCGTGTGGAATCACCTGCAGTTTTCAAACATCTCGCTACGGCCTTCTGCCTAGAGGGTCCAGTTTACTGATCTCAGGTGAGCTTGAACGCTGACTCCAGAATCTCCCCCAGGTGTCAGGCTGAGAACCTGTTACTGTGTAAACAGAATGGGCCACCTCCTTGTACAGGGATTGGCTCAAAGTGAGGCCAAGAAAGCCTGGTGGCCTGGACAAGAGATCTAAGATCTTGCCCAGGCAGTGAGGGAATTCTGGGGAACATTATCAAAGCACTTTATTGAATTTCTGTGCGCATGCTACCTGGGCACTATCTCCACTGTGTCCATCATACCATAGTCAACCCCTACACTCCAGGGGCACACATGCCGGAAGGACTAACCCTGGTTAGTTAGGAATCGGTATGCTCCTTGATCCAAGCCAGGTAGTAGGCTACGTCTGTGTAGACTCCGGGCTTGTTGCGGTCACCACAGCCGGAGCCCCAGCTGACAACACCTCGCAGGGTGAGCCGTTGCTCTGCAGCCCCTTCTCCACATACCAGAGGACCCCCGGAGTCACCCTGGGTAGGGGACAAGCAAGCTCATCGCTCTTGTTCTGTAGTGGACAGGTAGGGTTAAAGTACCAACCAGGACCCCAGGGCTGACCTGGCAGGCGTCTGTGCCTCCCTCCAGGAAGCCAGCACAAAGCATTCCGGGCAGGATGGCGTCCCCATGCACGTCAGCGTTGGAGCAGCGCTCCTGGGAGATGAAGGGTACCTGCGCCTCCTGCAGGAAATCGGCGTATTCCTCCGCCCCTGCAAATGAGGACCTAAGCTTGCTGCGTGGGCCGGGCTACCAGGCAGTTCCACACCTACCCTGACTTGGCTCCCTCACAGCAAGCCTGAGTAGTAGGGACCTGCCGGTAACAATTTCTCAGACAAGGAAACTGAGGCCCACAGAGAAGCCGGGATTAGAATGAACAAGAAGACACCCCTTACCCTCTCCCACGCAATGTCTCAGAACCTGGCTCCCAAAATAGTTGTCCCCATTGCTCCGGCATGGGGACAAAGTCCTAGTTAAGCCTTTGTAACTTGGAGCCCAGAGAGAAGAGAAAGTTGGATTCTCTCTATAATCCTGAGCTGGGTCACTTTTTGTCCACGTGACATCTGGGAACCTCAATGGAGAAGATGCCTTTTTTTTTTTTTTTTTTTTTTTTTTTGGTTTTTCGAGACAGGGTTTCTCTGTGGTTTTGGAGCCTGTCCTGGAACTAGCTCTTGTAGACCAGGCTGGTCTCGAACTCACAGAGATCCACCTGACTCTGCCTCCTAAGTGCTGGGATTAAAGGCGTGTGCCACCACCGCCCGGCTGAGAAGATGCCTTTTTAAGATTGGCCTTTGGAAATGTCTATGGGGGCATTTTCTTGATTAACGATTGATGTAAGAGAGCCCAGCCTACTCTGGGCAGTGACACCCCTGAACAGGTGAGTCTGGGTTGTGTAAGAAAGGAAGTCGACCCAGCATTGGGGAGGCAGAGGCAGGAGGATCTCTCTGAGTTCGAGGCCAGCCTGGTCTACAAGAGCTAGTTTCAGGACAGGATCCAAAGCTACAGAGAAATCCTGACTCAAAACAAACAAACAAACAGCAAAAACAAAGCTAAGCAAGATGCTGAGAGCAAGGCAGCAAGTTCCTTCCCGCTCTCTACCTCAGTTCCTGCCTCGGATCCCCCTCCCCCTCCATGGTGGACTGCATGCAGCCTTGTAAGTAACAAAGTCTTTCCCGCCTATGCTGATTTTGGCCATGGTGTTTATCGTCACCATAGAAAGCAAACGAGGACAAACCCAAAGGGATTTGGGAACCTCGACAGCGAGTTCTAGATTCTGGAAAAGTCGTGCTTCAGAGACAAGGGCCCCTGCACGGGTTTTTGGTGTTTTTTTTTTTTTTTTTTCTTCAAAATTGTCAGGTCAGTGAAACGAGTACCCAGGCTCATCGGAGGCTACGAAAAGTGCGCGCTCAGATAGCCAAAAATCTCCAGCCAGCTCCCAACCGCTGTGCCTACCCTCGAACTGGTGACCCCAGCCGGCCACCTCGCAGAGCACTGTCTCCGAGGGTGGGGCCGCGCTGATGGGCAAGCACACGGGCTGGATGTAGGACGACATGATCGCGCAGCTGTTGTTTTCGGTTTCCTTCAGGCGCAGCAGAGCTACCACAAGAGGGAAGGGTTAGACGGCGACCTGGGGCCCCAACCCTCCCCATTTTTCTCTCTATTCCTGCAGGGTCACCCCACCCAAGTCGTGCTGGTAGGTGATGGAGGAGAAGCCCTCATGAAGGAGGTAGGAGCGCACAGCCAGCGTCTGGCACTGCTCGCAGCTCTGGTTATGGCGATCTTGACCGAGCACCACCGTCAGCTCCTCGGGCGCTGGCCTGCGGTCGGGTGGGAGACAAAGTGCTCAGGCTGGATACAGACGTTCTGGGGGCGCCCCTGCTCTCAACCCCCCGGGGGAGCTCGAAAAATGCGGGGTGAGAGGAGAGTAGGGTGTAGGTACAGTAGAGCGGCCAAGGGGTCCCCGAGGGTGGCGCTTGCCGGTTCTGCAGACAGTGAGCCGCGGTCAGCACCCAGCAGGGGGCGATGAGGCTGCCGGCGCAGAAGCTGTCGCCCCAGTACAGCGCAGCGATGTACGGGTGAGACCCAGGCAGAGCCACTAGTCCGCCCACTATGCGGCTGAGCGGGGACAGTCGCTTGAGGAACCGCTGTCCGCAGCCCATTGAGCTGATCCTGGACACATGATTCTGACGCTCAGGCGAGGCTGTGGAAGGAAAGATTAGCTGAGGCCAGGGACACCCTCGGCAGGCTGCCTGGAATAAGCAGGGTCCACATGTTCTGGGCCGGGACCCCCTCCTCTGCCTAACCATCTAGCGCGTGCAACAGAGGTGGCGCCTGGGACGTGGGCTGAGGCTTCTGCACTGTGGAAGGCTGGGGCACCGGCAGGTCCTGATGCTCAGGAGGAACTCGAGGAGGTGCCTGGGTTGGGGTCTGGCACTGCTCCAGGTCGCAATAGTCCCAGGTCAGCCTGTCGTCCCTCCAGACGTAGCACCATGGGCGCATGTCATTATCCGGATTCCTGCAATCTCAAGAGGAAACACTGTTGTAAGGAGAGCCCCTGAGGGCCCTAAGGGGAAGCAAATTGACCTGCCCAGTCCCTTCCAGCGAACCGGCAGAAGGCATGGTGTCCCAGGCCTAGGCTTAGCTTTTGCTTCGCAGTCATGTTCCGGTAGGTGGCCTCCGAGGCCCACCGCTGACATGGTGCCCCCGATAAAGTGTTTCCAGCCTTGCCCCGGTAGCTGAGTCCCCTGTCCTCGTAGCAAGTCGCCTTACTATCTAGGAAGAAAGGGGACTCCCTGCAATCAGGGGATGGTTCTGTTGGTGTTCACTTTTCCATTCTCCCTTATTCACCTCCCCCAAGTCTTTTCCACATAGAGCCCCACTCACCTAAGTCGCAAAAAGGTCCAGTGTAGCCCGCAGGACAATGGCACAGTTGGTGACCCTCCACCTGGAGGCAGCTGCCCCCATTGAGGCACGCATTGGTGCTGCAGGCTAGGGGAAGGTGCACACTGTTCCAAACCTGGGCATACCATGCCACCCAGCCTCCTACCAGGGGCTCCTGACTTTCTGCCCTCCTCCCCACAGTCGCCACACACCCACTTACCCTGACTGGCCAGTGGCTTGCAGTGGGCGCCAGGACCCTTGCATTGGCACCTGGCCACACCTGCTGGCCCCGTTCTAAACCATATCTCATTTTCGTGGAAGAACTGCAGAAGCTGAGGCTCGAAGCACTTCTCTGGGGGACAAAAAGAGGACAGTGGGACCATGCAAATTTCTAGGGTTCCAGGGACCTCTCCTGGGCAGGCAGCTCCCCCTTACCTCTCTGGCAACGTGTCCCAGTAAGGTGTTCTGGGCAGAGACAGTGGGGGCCATTGGGGGTGTTCACACACGTCCCTCCTTTGTGGCAGGGGTTGTTTTTGCTGCAGTGGTCTGAGAGACAGACAGACACCGGAAGGAAGAAGAGGGAGTCTGAGTGACACATGAAGAGGTCAAACCCCAGCCTGAACCTGCTTGTCCTAGAACCATGGAACCCCAAGTTTCCGGTCCTTAAACTCATCTGTAAAATGGTGGTCTCTTTTCCCAGAATTCTCCCTCTGACCTTTGAAAGGATGCTGTAGGAGAAGGGAAGAGGCTGGACCCAGAATCCCAAGTGTGTGGGGTCTGATGATACCTAGTAGGTGGGTGGGAATAGAGTGAAGGGCAGGAGGCGGCGGCCTTGGGCCATGGGTTGCATGCAGTACCTTTCACCTTCTTGGGCTCCAAGCAGTATCCCCACTGCTGGTCCTGGTCAAAGTTAGGAGTGACGGCACACCTGGGGAAACAAATGAGACTTCTCTGCTTTGCCTGAAGGCTGAGTAGCGCGCACACGCGCGCGCATGCGCGCGCCCTTTTGCCCAAACACAATTCTTAGGCAGATGATAGACAGGCAGAATCCATTTTCTCTAGGCCCCTCCTCCAACCCCCATGAGAAATTTTACCAGGACCGGCCCGGCCCGCCTTTGTGGATGCATCTGTGGTGCAGACGGCGGTGGTACAGGAAGGGAAAGTGGCAGAGGTTCCCATCGACGGTGAGAACTGTGGGAATAACACACCTCTGAAGCCTACCCTATGCCCAGCTGCCCATGCTGTGCCTCATGGGGCCTGGCTGGAGAGAGGAGAGTCCTCAAAGAGAGCACTCTACATCCAAGACTGCACCCCGCTTAGAGAACGGTCTTAGATTTCTGCCTCCAACCCTCACAAGCTCTGTGCCCTCGGGTCAAGTCTGAAACCCAAGAGCTTGTCACAAAGTTGCCACTTAGTAAACATTTAGGTCACTTACCATTTTTTTGTTGTTTTTTTTTTAATTTTATAACTAATATATATTTATTTATGTATTATGTATACAATATTCTGTGTGTATGCCTGAAGGCCAGAAGAGGGCACCAGACCTCATTACAGATGGTTGTGAGCCACCATGTGGTTGCTGGGAATTGAACTCAGAACCTTTGGAAGAGCAGGCAATGCTCTTAACCACTGGGCCATCTCTTCAGCCCACTTACCTTTTTTTGACTCATTAGTAAA